ACATTCAAGTTACAAATTGCCGCACCCATTCTTACGTAAAAAAATAAGGTGGATATGGATCTCAAAATATAGATTGCATTTGAAATACAGTGGATCCTGATGACTTGGATCATCATGATCGACTGTAAAACATTTTTAGGTAATACTGGTCCAAAATGTAAAAACATGAATCTTATGAAAGAGAATCAGATATTCTTTCAGAAATATATTTGATGAAGGTGATTAAGTTCTGAATAAACAACATACAAACTGACCGTCATACTGCAACAGTGTCACGTTTACTGGTGTGATTTTGGTTTTACAAGCACACCAACTATTTACAAAGGTGAGATTTCACCAGCACTTGGCCAGCGGAGCGAGAGGCGATTTCATTCGTCTGCTGGGGCTGAAGATATCCCTCGCTTCCGTCTCTAACCTCACGCCCGGCACCTTAAAGATGGACACAGCTGACGGAGAAAGAGAGAAGGTTAGAGAATGAGAAACGAGACAGGAGGAAAAAGACATGATTACATAATCTCTTTTCATCTTGAGTCGGCGTTGAAAAGGTTGCCAGTTTTGACAGTAACTAAGAGGGATTTAACTTTGATCTTGTGTGTAACGGGACCAGATTAACCTTTGAAGCTGGAATTGCGTGCATTCCGTTCGTATAGTGAAATTCTTCAGCACTTACTGTCGCTTAGATGCATTAACGGAGGTGGAAGTGTGTTGAAATATGGGTGTAGCAATGCATCCTGGGCTGAAATCCTGTGGGGGTGGTGGAAGGGAGATGAGGACCGCTATACAAAAACCCTTCTGTTCCCACTCGGAGCCAAAACGCACACACATACGCGCACGAGCATGCACACATGACTGGTCTTACCTTTTCCAGACATCTCGAAATTGCTGGGGCTTGCAGCGCAGGAACCACTCTACAGGAACACAAAGAGAGCTCTTTTAGTTAACAGACCACCAGAACATCCAGCTCTGATCAGGTATCTTCACTCAGAGCACGTTAAGACAATGAGCCACGAGACAATCTATGAAAGCCTTCATTATTTACTATTCCTTGTGTTGTTACAAATATCTTCTGTGGAGCATGAAAAGAGATGTTTAGCAGAATGTTCACGCTGCTCTTTTGCATACAAAGACAGTGAGTGATGACGGGGGCTGCCAAGCTTCAAAAAGGAGCATTATTAAAGTTGGCATGAGATGAAAATTTAATATCTATTTTGTGAATACATGTTATAGATCTTATTGTGAACTATACATTCACGTAGCCTAGATTTATGCTTTCAGTTTTAATAGAAATCTTATACAGTATTACAGTTTGTCAATCTAAAATGGTAATTGTGCATTAACAGCTGTCAACCATGTTGGTACACAGATGCGCTGTCAGAACTTATTTACACAGCGCATTTTTTATTTTGGTCGCGCATGCGGACCTGTGTACCACTTATGTGCACCCCTGCCTATAAATGTAAAAATGTTTCTTGCTATAAAGATCATTTGAAGAAGCTTTATTATGAGTGTCCTTCTGTCAGTGTCTGTGGTCACAGGCCACTCAGTCATTCTTGGCTGAAACCTGAGGCCACACTTACGCTTCAGCACACCTGGATATACCTGAGAGACCACAGCGGGTTCAGGTAGCTTCTCTCCAACACACAGTATACACACACACACACACACACACAGAGCAGCCTGGGGCTTGGGTAAACCCAGATTCAAGGCCTGCCAGCAGTTTACCTACCACACACACCATCTCCATCAGTACCCACACACTCTAAATGAGGCATATTTCCCAAAGCCACCTCACATTGCTCATTTGTGCACCTGTGTAATGAGTCTGCACTTTATTTCCAGGACTGCAATGGAAAGACATCAACCCCCGTTCCTGCATGAGTGTGCGAAGGTGTGTGTTTGTGTCTGACTCAAAGGTGTCAAGTCGACTCACGGCCAACACAACTGCTAACAGAACACCTATACACACAAAATGATTTATACTGGAAACACAGCTTCAGCACAACTCTGTGAATTTGCTCTAGCGATTTTTTGTTTGTATGACTGCATGTTATTAAAACGACAGGCTCTTGGCAACAAGTTTACACCTACACATCGCCAAGCACACACGCAGTGCATACAGATGACGGTGTCTATGTGTAGTTCTAGTTCTAAATTTATGGCTCATGTGCATTTACTGAATGTTTAAAAATAACAGATACATCTAATAAACTGTAAGAATTGAGCGTGTGGAGGAAAAGATTGTGCATTAACAGCTGTCAACCATGTTGGTACACAGATGCGCTGTCAGAACTTATTTACACAGCGCATTTTTTATTTTGGTCGCGCATGCGGACCTGTGTACCACTTATGTGCACCCCTGCCTATAAATGTAAAAATGTTTCTTGCTATAAAGATCATTTGAAGAAGCTTTATTATGAGTGTCCTTCTGTCAGTGTCTGTGGTCACAGGCCACTCAGTCATTCTTGGCTGAAACCTGAGGCCACACTTACGCTTCAGCACACCTGGATATACCTGAGAGACCACAGCGGGTTCAGGTAGCTTCTCTCCAACACACAGTATACACACACACACACACACACACAGAGCAGCCTGGGGCTTGGGTAAACCCAGATTCAAGGCCTGCCAGCAGTTTACCTACCACACACACCATCTCCATCAGTACCCACACACTCTAAATGAGGCATATTTCCCAAAGCCACCTCACATTTCTCATTTGTGCACCTGTGTAATGAGTTTATTTCCAGGACTGCAATGGAAAGACATCAACCCCCGTTCCTGCATGAGTGTGCGAAGGTGTGTGTTTGTGTCTGACTCAAAGGTGTCAAGTCGACTCACGGCCAACACAACTGCTAACAGAACACCTATACACACAAAATGATTTATACTGGAAACACAGCTTCAGCACAACTCTGTGAATTTGCTCTAGCGATTTTTTGTTTGTATGACTGCATGTTATTAAAACGACAGGCTCTTGGCAACAAGTTTACACCTACACATCGCCAAGCACACACGCAGTGCATACAGATGACGGTGTCTATGTGTAGTTCTAGTTCTAAATTTATGGCTCATGTGCATTTACTGAATGTTTAAAAATAACAGATACATCTAATAAACTGTAAGAATTGAGCGTGTGGAGGAAAAGTTAACTAAAAACGACAATTCTGTCATCATTTACATATGACTTTCTTCCATGGAGAACAAAATTGGAAATTTAAATGGAAGAAACTTGATATTTTAGAGCATATACACCTAAGTTTTTACAATACAAAAACAAAAGCAATTTTCATGTGGATGTGCAAGACTTCCGATTTATTAGCTGCTATAGGTAAATAAACAACAAATAACAAAGTGCAGTAAACTTTATATTGTTTATACAATAATAAATTAATTTAATATGATAACAATTACCAGTTTGCAACATCAAGCAGCATAGGAAACTGTTTTTGTACAGCTAATATAACTGGATTCACCTGACACTGGAAGTCTTGCACATTCAAGTTACTAATGGTAAAGTCTTTTTAACTTAAAAAAAAAAAGAAAAAAAAAAGAATAGCATAGGTGGATAGCATATTATTGTATTGTACTGTACAATATGTTACAGATTATAATATATAAATGGCTGATATTAAAATTCTATAAATTCTGTCCAAATATATTATAAAAAAACACACACAAAAAAAACCTAAAACAAATTTTTTAAATGCTACAAGTGAATTTAATTTATTTAATTAATAATTTAATTTTATTAATTGAATTTAGGTGTCATTACTATTCGTTTTGTGATTTGATTACATTTAACAGTGTTATTAAATTAAAGATGAACTGTATGTGAGCATTAGTGGCAAATGTAATCTAAATGAAAAAATGTCCAGTGTCCAATATCCAATATCGATAAATAAAAAATATCTATCAATATGGTACCAAGATATTGTTTTTATTCCCAAAACTGTGGTTCTCAAATGGGGTCTTAGCAAACTTCAAAGGGGCCTCAGGATGACTTTAAAATGATTTAAAATAAGATAAAACAATCATTAAAATATGCTAAACAAGAAAAAAAATCAAGATATTCTTTACTTTAAATTACCCTCCAAATTGCTTTTTTTTCCTCTTTGAAGAACCACAGTCTTGGGAAACCTGAATTCATGAGGCCTTATTTTAAAAGTGTGATTTCTAGACCTTTAAATTAGAAATTGAATAATATATCCATTAACTCCATTAGCATTTTAATAATTAATTTAAATTTTTTATAGTTTCAAGATCTAACCTATTTTTTTTTTCAGATAGAAATTGTGAGTAAAAAACATTTTTAAAAATCCTTATACTTCTCGAGTAAATCATGAACAACTGGAAATGTCATGCAGCCTTTGAATGTTGTTGTTGACAATGAGATGTCTTGGAGTCCAAATGTTTGAGAACCACTGCCCTAAAAGGAACCATTAAAACTGCCCGTATGATTTGCGGCTATATTTAAAATCTTTAGAGACCATATGAGATGAGGTATGCTAGAATGAATTGCTTTGATGAATTGCATGACGCATCTGAATTTGGCAAGTCTAAATATGTGCATGTGTGAATGAGATTTGAGAGCTATGATTTAGGGGAAGATTATCAATGAATAACAACATAACTCAAAACATATTTTGTGTTCCACAGAAGGAAGGAAGTCATACAGGTTTGGAATCACATGAGAGTGAGTAAATGATGACAGAATTTCATTTTTGGGTGTACTAACCCTTTAAGAACATATTTCTTCTTGATCTAAGCCCTAAAATTACTTTCATTGCTGTAACATAATTTAGTCAAGTTTATATTAAAACATTACTTTGACTTAAATAAAACCAGTTCATTTAGATGCTAACACATTAAATACATTGTTATGTAACTAACACAGACACTTGCATTTAATGTATGAGACAAATCTGTGTTGAGGCAGGAAATCACCTCTCATTGTGGACACAGTACAGAGACAGATGAAAGATGGATTTTGCACACACCTGGTTTATAGTTTGGCAGATCACTGACACCTGGCCAGCTCTTCTCGGTCGGGACCCCGAGGACCTCGGAAAGAAGAGGAGAGATGAATAACGGGAGGAGAGGAGGATAAATAAATGGATAGAAGAGAAATTTCACACAATTCTAGTACATTCTCACAAACAGACTCACTGCCCAAATCTTCAGCAGCTGCTCAAAAACATCAGCTACTCCAGGAAACGCTGGTGACCCCTGTAGCATCTCAATAAAAATGCAGCCGGCTCCCCTAAACATCAACATATACACATATACTGTATGTCAGACCAGGGTTGCAGTTCTGCTCTTACTGGTGGGGGGACCAAAACTGAGTGTTGGGTAATAGTTGATTTTCATTTCAGTTACAACATACCATGTTAATATGCAACAGATTATCAAAATTTAACAACACAAAGAACATAATTTTTTCAGGAAATTATGTAAAGAATTTCATTTGCATATCTTAAGTGGGAAAAACATCAATCCAAAAGTTCTGTAGACAAATATGTAAATGTTTATCATGTGTCAATTCATTACAATACGCAAACTTTATGTACAAATACAGGGCTGAACGCTAAGGATTTTTTTCAACTGGTTCAGATTTTCAAAATTTGGTTCAAAATGGCTTTGGCTTTGCCACACAAAAAACTGTTATTGTTTATTATTGGTTTCATTGTGTTTGACCTATGTAACCTTGTTTCTTAACAAATAACGTTGGATAAAGACAAGCAAACAGTCAGTAATAAACTAAGAACAAATGAACAAATTACTAGCAATAGCACAAAAAAATACAATAAAACAAAGATTTCAATTAAATAAACAGTGCTTTAAGTTTTTCAGGTAAGTCTAACAGTATTCAAGTACGAAATAAAACATTGTATAAATTGAATACAGAATCCTTATTAAAGCTGAAGCAGTTATTCAGTCAAGAGCAGATGTGAGCAGAGTGATTTAAATTTTTTCTTTTGTTCTTTAATTAACATTAATGCCACAGACAGCAGCAGGTATATTAAGCTGCTGTCACTTTAAGAACAAATGCATGCATCAGACACACATCAGATTTTCTCCCAACTGTTTACGTTCATTTAATACTTTTCATTCTAACTCAGTTAAGACTGTGCTTACGAGGATACTCGCCAAAATGGGCATTTTCACTTAATTTTGTGTGTATTTGTCCATTCAAGAACTTCGGTAATGGCGTGCTGTCTGAGACGTGGCTCTCTGCGTGTGCGCGCACAGAAAACAGTGCTGAATTGAGCAACAAATTGAGTTCTCTTTCACATCTTCTTGTACTTGAACGGTTTAAAATTGTTCGAATGCTTAAACTGGCAAGACTTAAAAACTCATGCATATGATACACTTTCGTGACGAGTCAAAAATAAAGCATTAAGCTGAAGGGGGACATTTTCAAAGAGTGGGGGGACACTGGGGGGAATTACGCCAGTTGCTCTTTTACTATTATTAACTTTTCTAGGAGAATGAGTGTGTGTGTGTGTGTGTGTGTGTGTACAGGGACTCACCAGATGTCCAGGGCTGTGGAGTAATCAGTGGAGCCCATGAGAACATCTGGCGGCCGGTACCATAAAGTCACGACCTCTGCAGAGTATGTTTGGCACGGTATGGACTTAGATCGGGCCAGACCTGAAGGAATAAGACCTGGGTAAGAATGTATGACAAAGCATATTATAAGCATGTTAGCGTTTGCATAAGCGAAACCTACCAAAATCGGCTAATTTGAGTTCCCCCAAATAACTGATGAGCAAATTTTGAGGTTTGAGGTCTCGATGCAGAATTCTTCTGCTGTGAATGTAAGACAATCCTCGCAGCAACTGAAACATGAAGAGCTGAAGAAACATACTGAGCGTGAGAAAGCCGGCTCATTCTTTCTGACCTTGTGTATTTTTTACGCATTCATGTGTTTGTGTACCCTGATGTTGTACGAGTGAAGTCCGCCAGGATGCTGAATCATGTATTGAGCCAAATCTGTTTGCTGAGAGGGAAAAAGATGTCAAATATGACTGACAGGTAGACAAAATTAACAAAATAATCTTGGAAGGCGTCTTAGACTCACCACATACTCAAAGACAAAGGTGAAAGACTCTCGCGTGTGGATGATGTCGTGAAGCAAGACTATGTTGGCATGTTTAAGGCCCTTTAACAAGGAGGCTGGGAATAATCACAAATAAAATGGACATACAGCATCAACAAGTGTAGTACAGTCACATATCTAGCCTTGCATTTTTTCCCATCAGAAATACATTAAAAACTGTAATATTGTGAATTACTATTACAATTTCACCTAACTGTTTTCTATTTTAATACAGTTTAAAATGTAATTTATTTTTCAGCGGCCATTACTTCAGTTGTCAGTGTCACATGATCCTTCAGAATGTTGATTTTGTGCTCAAGAATAATTTCTTATTATTATGAATACTGAAAACAGTGATACATGGTTTTCAAGGTTCAAAATAACAACATTTATTTGAAATAGAAATCTTTAGTAAAATTATAAATGTCTTTACTGTCATTTTTGGTCAATTTAAAGTGTCCTTGCTGAATAAAAGTATTAATTTCTTTAAAATAAAATAAAAATTCTAACCCCAAACTTCTGAATGGTAGTATGTCAGAACATATAAAAAAAAAAAAAAAAAGAACGTAAGTAAAAACAGTTTATTAATGCACAACTCCACTATTCATATTTCAATCACAGACATCTATAATGGACACTTCCTGAATATATTCTTTATTGTTATTCTAGATTGTGTACAACTTACACACACACACTAGCATGTTGTACCCCACTTCCCTTTGCGTGTGTATAAGCACTTTTTTTCTTGGCTGTGTGTGTTGCGCTGTTGCAGTACCTTCTCTAATAGCTGTGAATGGAATTCCTTCCTCAGTTTTCATGTGAATCACCTTTAAAGCCACAAGATGACCATTTATCCTGTCAGAAACACAGAAGAACCTCAGCATAATCCACAAACATGCATCTGCGAACAGTTTACCTGACCTCTACTTTCTGGAGAATAACCACCATCACAAGCTCTCCCTTTGAAAGACCTTATGAAATCAAAATGGAAGTTTTTTCTATTAGCTACAAGGTTTTTTATAGATTATTCTTAAGAGTTGACAAATTAAACAAATGCCTTTCATTTGTAGAAAATTCAAACTTAAAATTTAAAGTTTCTCTTCTATTTTTTCTTTTTGTCTAATTAAATGCGAAGATAATGTGCCCTTGATCTAATAATACCCGCCTATGTCTAGCAATAGCACTTAGCAAATCATAGTTCATGGCTGTAAATTAAAGCCTATTGGCTATTTAAAACTAAGGGGCGAGCTCTTGGATGTGTCCCACCCCAACTTCATGTTTCTGTAGGAAATACTGTAACACAAAAAAGAAATCTGCAATTTTAAAAGCCTATCATCTTGTCTGTCATTTAAATTATCTGCTGGTGTTGTTTAGTAGTGGATAAGTTCATGATGCCATTTATGGATACAAATTCCACCTACTGTGGCGTTTAACTCTATTCCAAAATCATCTTTAAGTGAGGTTACATTGTTACTTTAACCACATTAATAAGCAAAAATGTTACTAAATGTAAAGCGTTCTATCCTAAAACAGCTGCAAAGAGATGTATGGGAGCTGTTTCTTATTACAAAATATTGGTTGTTGTACAACAACATCAAACTGCCTCTCAGTGTAAGCCTCGGGTGGGTATCCATATGTTACAGGATGACCTTAAAAAATGAATCCATGTAAAACAAGATGCCATAGAAGAACTCAAGCAATGCCTACAGGGAGGCAATGAAAAGAATCATTTGCTGTCTATTATACAGAAGAGCAAAGCCACAGGGTGGTGTATCTGAATAATGTGCTTGCTAACTGAATACTGCCATAAAACATTCATCTTGCCTCAGTGAATAAATTGCCCCCTATTGGCAACATCTGAGTTCTGTGTATTACACTGTTTTGAATGTGTGTCTATGAGTGTCTACTAACCTGCTAATTCCTTTGTACACTGTGGCATATGTGCCCTCTCCAAGTTTTTCAAGATTCAGATAAGATGTCGCATTCCCAAACTGCAGGCCAGTTTTCTGTGAATGAAATGCACACACTGTTATTTCGCCAGCCAAGCAACTGCCATTTAAATAAATGAGAGGAAGCTTTTATAGACCTCCTTGGTCTAGCTGCCATACATTTTAAACTAAAAACAACTGAACCAATAAATTAGTAAAAAAAAAAAAAAAAACTCCTGTGTGAATGATTGCTGTCTAAATACACTTCTGATACATTACAAATTTGGGAAAGTCACCTTTTCGTATTGCAGCCTTCATATCATTCTATGCAAACTATAAAAAAATAGCAAAAATAACACTTTCAAAGTAAAAAAAAAAAAAGACTGCAAGCCAAACATGGTACTACCACACACAAAGTGAGACAGCTGAGATAATACAGCCCAAAAGTACTTAAAGGGATAGTTCACCCCAAAAATAAAAATTTGATGTTTATCTGCTTACCCCCAGGGCATCCAAGATGTAGGTGACTTTTTTTCTTCAGTAGAACACAAACGAAGATTTTTAACTTTTAACTGTTATTGTAAACCGTTAAAGTCTGTCAGTCTTATAATGGAAGTGAATGGGAATCATGGCTTTGAGAGTAAAAAAAAACATACACAAACAAAACCAAATGAAACCCTGTGGCTCGTGACGATACATTGATGTGTAAAAAAAAAAAACAACCGGCCTGTGCAAGAAACTGAACAGTATTTATATCGTTTTTACCTCTGATACACGGCAATGTCTGAACAGTCCTGAGCGTCCTCGACAGCCGGCGCGTGACGCGTCTTCTTGATCGTTTCGTGTCTTTACACATCAATGTATCGTCACGAGCCGCAGGGTTTAATTTGGTTTTGTTTGT